GACCGTTCTCGCCGGAGTCTCTGTCCCGCACCTTCAGCAAAGCCACCACGGTGCCGAGCGGTGCGTCCTCGGGCACGGGACTGGACAGGAATAAAATGCTGATCTCAGGAGCGTTGTCATTCTCGTCTGTGATGTCGATTTGCACTTCACAGTGGTCGGTGAGCCCGCCGCCGTCAGTCGCCTCGAGGCCGAAGATGTATTTATTATTTTCCTCGAAATCGAGAGGACCCGCGGTTTTGATCTCGCCGCTCTCGCTGTCGACAGCGAACAACGCCCTGACGGATTCATGGACACTGCCAAATGAGTAGGACACTCGCCCGTTGGAGCCCGCGTCCGCATCTGTCGCTGTCACCCGCAGCACCAGGGAACCTGCAGGCAGATTCTCCGCCACTCGCGCTTCGTAGACGCTTTTGCTAAACACTGGACGGTTGTCATTAGCGTCCGTCACGTTTACTCGAACCTGGACACTCCCAGACCTTGCTGGATCCCCGCCGTCCACCACGGTCAGCACCAACTCAAAAGAACTCTGCTTCTCTCGATCCAGCTCTTTCTCCAGCACTAATTCCGGCTGCTTCTTTCCACCGGCCCTCTCTTTCATAATGAGAGAGAAGGACGGGTTGCTGGATAGATGGTAAGTCAGTAGAGAGTTGCTTCCTACGTCTGCGTCTCGAGCCATCTCCAGAGGAAAACGAGCACCAGGAAGTGTCCATTCACCGATCTCGACGTCCAGAAGAGACTTGCTGAAGGCAGGGGAGTTGTCATTCACGTCCTCAATAGACACCATGATGTGGAAAATGTTCGGCGGGTTCTGCACCAGCGCCTCGAAGCTGACAGAGCAGGACGCCGACTCGCCGCACATCTCCTCCCGATCCAGCCTCTCGTTCACGTACAGGTTGCCGTTCTCCTCATTCACCGTGAAGTATTGCTTCTCCTCGCTCAGCCGCAGCTTGCGCGCCGGCAGCTCGTCCGCGCTGAGCCCCAGGTCCCGCGCCAGCGGCCCCACGAGCGAGCCTCTGCCCAGCTCCTC